CTCTCTCTCTCTCTCTCTCTCTCTCTCTCTTCCCTCTCTCACTCTCTCTTAAAAAAAAAATAAATAAATAAAAAGGACTGGGGCTATATCTCAGAGGTAAAATGTCCCTGGGTTCAATCCCTAGTACCAAAAAAAAAAAAAAAAAGTATGAAAAAAAAAAAAAAAGTTTCAGACAGAAGGCCTGCACTAATATTATCCATACGCTAGGTTTTGTGCATTGACCACTCTATACATATCACTATCACCAAGGCAAACATTTGAGTCCCAGAAATTGTGCTAAGCATATTATCTATATTATCTCATTGAAACCTAGAAATATTCCTATGAGAAAGGTATTATTATCATTATCCCCCACTTGGAAAGTGTGAACCAGAAGCTGAATAGCTTCCTAAGACAGTACAACTTTGTAAATGGTAAAGCAAGAATCCAAACCCCAATAGTGACCACAAAGCTCATCTTATCTCTACTAACATATCCTGTTGTCTCCATCTTTCTTCAGTTTATACTCTAAACAATATTATAGAATAGATAATAATATTCCCATTCCAAAGAAGAGGAAATAAAGGTTTAGGAAAGTAATGTCACATGATTAGTAAACAGAACCAAGAATTAAAGGTCCTTGCCTTGTCTACTCTCCCAATTGAAACTTTCAACATCATGTATTTTTTCAGGTAATTTATTTTCCTCTTAAATGTCAATTCCCAGAGAGCTATGCTTAGCCTCCATCTAAATGCTTCTAAGCAATCTCATCTAATGGTTTGCATACCACATGTAAGCCCCAAAATCCCACATCTTTTTTTTCTTGTCCCCCATGCCTATGATCTGAGCTTCATACCCATATATATGCACCAAAGACTACAGGACATCTCCAAATGAATATTCTACTTGTAAATACAACACATCAATAATGATATTCCTGAATAGGAAGACCCAATATTATATATGTGTTAAATCTTAACATAATTTGTAAGCTTAGAGCTTTCTAAACTAAACAAATGGAATTTTTAAGAAAATAGGACTTGTGACTGGGTGCAGTGGAATATGCCTGTAATCCCAGTGGCTTGGGAGGCTGAGGTAGAAAGATCCTGAGTTCAAAGCCAGCCTCAGCAAAAGTGAGGTGCTAAGCAACTCAGTGAGACCCTGTCTCTAAATAAAATACAAAATAGGGCACTTGCCTGGCATGTGTGAGGCACTGCATTCATTTCTCAGGTCTATCAACAACTAAATACTCTCTCTCTCTCTCTCTCTCTCTCTCTCTCTCTCTCTCTCTC